TTGTCACTTCGATATTGTTCGACGTACGCAACTATCACGAGCTACCGAACAATGTTAGGTTTTTCGCTTTTACGACCCGAGTTACCGGGTATAACGTTCATTTATATAGGTATACACGTGAGCGAACGTACGTTCGCGAAGAGCGAAGACCGAAGAGGAGGCCGAGAAGGAAGGTCACTCGATAATGCTCTCGACGACGTGGCCATTAACCGTGCAGAGCAGAAGAGGGATGAGAGACGAGGACCGAGGTAGAGGAGCATGTATTCCCTTACGCTCGCTCGCTCTGCTCGGATGCACACCCTGTAAGGCATCAGACGTCCTACATCGATCACATCATCGGTCGAAGGTCCTTCCGATACACGCGATAGGCCCATCGATATAAATGGATTTGAGCTAGTCCCGCATACGACATTACGACTAAAAAGTAGACGAGACGAGACGAGATGACGACGACGGCGACGACGATGACGGTGAAAATCTTGAGGGAGCTTGCGCTCGTTTTTCGCTTTTGTTCATTCTGTTTTTGTTCATTGTCAGGAGATAAATGGTAGTTTCTCTGTCTTTCTCTGTACGTCTCTTTTTCTTTCTCTTTCTCTTCCATGAACATAAAGTGTACGCGCGCACATGTAAGCATATGTCATAGCGCGCGTAAAGCGTCGATCATAAAATATGAGCGACCATATTTTACCTATCTTGCGAAGACATTACAGACGCAATTGCGCGGAACTACTCCAACACCTCTGGAATATTTTATATGCAAGAATATAGTGCTGATACTTTTGGTCAAAGGTCATAGTTTGAAATATCAATGTCGCGCGTGCGAACGAAAGTATACCGGCAAATATTTGGAGGACAGTATTTTCATATGATATTAAATATAGCAATAAATTTGTTGATTGTTTAAAATACATTTTTGCTAAATCACAAAAAGTCATGGTCAAATCGTGCATTTTTATTAATACATGTAAATATATTCACGCGACGTGTTATCAGAAACATTAAAAATTATTGTAAGAGTCAAAACAAAAAAATCGTGCTCCCATCTATTATATGATTTTTTCACAAATTGTTGAATCATGAAAAACAATATAAAATTTCTGTTATTTCATTACAGCACTAAAATAAATTATCAATTATGAAAATGTCAGTTTAAACAATGTAATGTTATCTAATACGTTTAGAATTTCGATATTATCTAATTAGATTTGCTTGTTTAATTTACCGCGTGACGCGTTCTATTCAATTACTAGCAATAAATTGATTTCCCGATAACTATTCATTGAATATTCATCGCAACAAGAAATACGTCGTAGAAATATCGAAGAAATTGCTCATCAATTATTCATGTCAAATAATGACATATACAACTTTTACAATTGAATTGAATATGGAATTACAATCCATCTTAACGCTGACATGTTTGTTACTGATATATATATATATATATGTATATAAGATGAATTATCACCTTATATCCCATTCAAACATAATATTATTCGTCTCCGAGTTCGTCGAATTAAAAATTATCCCGTGTTAAGGCGACTGACACAGGAATGTGTACCTATTATTATTGCCCTTCTGGTGAAACCAAATTAAGAATACGCGATGTACTGTTAACAACCCTGATAACTCACCCTCTCCTCCCCTCCTCTCTCTCTCTCTCTCTCTCTCTCTCTCTTTCTCTCTCTGTGTTGGTTGACACTCGAATTATACAATTTCATTGTACCTACATATTTATGTTCTTTTCATAATTTTATTGTAACTTACTTCAACTCATCATCTCATGTTGTTATCATTTATTGTTACGTACAACATCTGCATTTAGGCCCGTTTTCACAATATATGGTTACCTAAAGATTAAAGGTTACCAACTGATTCATCAATGAAATTCATGAATTTCTTGATTAATCTTTAATCTTAAGGTAATCATATATTGTGAAATTGGGCCTTATTGTTATGCCTCTTTGCTTATTTTAATTCATACTGCTTATATTTGCACACTTTATTATTATTTTTTTTTATCCTTCTCTTCTCTACGCTTATTTCAATTCTACGCTGTTTACTACTGCACACTTATTTTTACTGTATTCTTCCTGTACTTTCTGCTCTTAGAGGGCTCGCCCTAGAATAGCAATAAACGCTTTTATCTATCTATCTATCTATCTGTGTGTCTCTGTCCCGGTCTCTGTCTCTCTGAGCGATAGTTCATCGTTAGACAAATTTATCGAGTTAAGACGCGACGTAGTGCTCCTCGAGCACCTAACTGCATCGTAAATTAGACGAAAATGCTATCGCTTTCGCGCTCTCTCTCACTCTCTTTCTCTCTCTTCCTCTTTC